TGGTAAATTGTATTATAACCTCTACTTTTGATAACGTCGCCACCCTCAAAGTCATGCTAGTGATGATCTTCTAATTGTTGTCTTATAGCACTACTTCTCTTTCGTAATCTCAAGGTTGAAGATATCCGTAACCTCTTGTTTTCATCCATAAAATCCCAAGTGTTTTCGATCAAATTAAGACCCGGTAGACATGCTGACCAACAGAGAGAGAGCGAGAGGGACAATACCTCATTGCAGTTTCCACACAGTCCGACAGTGATGTGGCCAGGTGTTGTCATTTCACAGAATCCATTTATCATTTTGAACATTTTGAGGGAGCAGATGGTTGTTCAGGTTCTCGCAGGAACTGGTCTCAGTAGTATGTCTAATCCGGATCGCTCCATCAGACAGGAATTCATCTACCATATTTTCACCTGTCGCCAAATTATCGAACATAAACGTTCCCTAGACCCACAACTACGATCTCCCTGAATCCCAAAACGGAATTCAACTCAGTCCACCCTACCATCCTTTGAAACTGACTTTCTTCGGAAAGTACCCCACAGAAGTTTATTTTTCTTCTGCTTCGCTCTATGCGAAAAGTCACCCGAGTGTGACATGGAAACGGCTGATCATCGGCACTGACGTCTCTCTTCGTTTATTTTCAACCTTGTGATTTAGAGATGTCCTTTTGCGAGGCCAGCGGTCTCACTATTCTACAACATAGCAAATTGTTTCATCTCGGGTACGCAAATGAGATCATACCGCTGAAGTGCGTCTTGCATGCGTGTTTCGGAAACATCATACGTCTAATTCGAAAATTTCGAGGATTTTAGCCAAGACCGCTTATTTACCAATCTGTTAAAGCGTGCGAATATTGGGTATTAGTCTACCAGAACTATCCGTTTTGACTTTGACACTGTTTTCAGCATTCCAATCTTCCCTCTCCAGGTTCATACCGAGGGGCAACCAAAACCGCCATACAATGTATGTTTGATGAATGAAAAAAACTGGGAGATTGTGCTAACTAATGGCGATGAAGTCTCTCTAGTCGGTTTTAGTGTCGATTCACAAATGAGCGAGTATAAAGAAAAGCTAACTGAACACATTCCGTGGAGCAGAAGCTCTTATATAATTGTGCTTGTAGATGATTTTTACGCGAAGGTCGGAGATGTGAGCGCGTCTAAAGCGTACACAAGCGTTTATTGCGCTCTGCGGTGTCAGCGAACCGATTACGTTGATCGACTTCTTCAGTTCTGCACAGATCACCGTTTGTATTTATCCATTACGAACTTCCGAAACAGCTTTCGTCGGAGCTCCAAATGATGCCCCAATTCAACCAGTAAGCTGACCCATATTGCATTAGGCTACCGTTGGCATGACTTAGTACGGAGCTGTATACCTTATTCGATGATGCGCATTTCGGCTGATCATGCATTCGTTTTGATGTACTTCGAGCTCTATCTGTATTAGCAATCAAGGTTAATTTTCAACATTGGTCCCCTCTTATGTATTGTATCAATATCGAAGGAAGACAAGTGNGTTGCGAGAAGTTAATATTTCATTTGATCTCCTTAATCGCCATCGCAATACGGGCTGGATTGTATACACACAGCACATTGAGTGGATCGATCATAGTGAACATACAATTTCAGAAAGTATTACCAAAAATAGAAGCGAAGAGATAACTTCTCGGCTTGTGAATTGATCGCCGCAACATCATGTGGACGCATATAATCGGTCGATATAATCAAATAAGGAACGCTTCACTAATCACCAAAAGTTTAGCATAAAGTTACCTAACAGTCTTTGAAAAACGAGTCAGGGTCAACAGTGTGACATATTGTCATGGTGTTTTTCATGTCGATGATTCCGGGTTTCTTGTTATCACCCGACCTCCGGTTGTAGGTGGCATCATCGACTTCTTCCGCTATCCTCTATTACAGCTGACGGTTTGTTCTACCCGCGTTGGCGTCATCGCAACTGCAGGTGAACTATTAGATAGTGTATGAGACAAAATCGGTTTGCCAGACTAACGTTTACCCAGAATGATGTTGCGAGTAGAGATAATGAGTCTTGGTTGAGCAGCTGAGAATGTACGGCCTAGAGATGAATTCAACCTTTTGAGTGCATCAATTAAAGAGTGACCGCCTTAGGAAATTAGCTTGATTTATACATTTTTAGTGCTTTTGCTTGGACTACCTTTTTGGAAATGTTTACTAAGGGCATTGTTTATAGATGTGCTAATTAGGGAAACAGCTCAGACACTTGAAGGCCGTGAGTAGTTTTCTCAATAGAGGCTATTGGAGACGCTTG